TTGTGCTCGAGTCGTACATTCCCAACCTGGATAAGGACATCGACGATCAGCCGAGGAGGATGCAGAGGGTCGCCAAGGTGTTGCTAGACACTGTGGCTTTCCTTGGCAGGATTCAGAGGCACGGCTGGGTGCACGCGCACCTCGACGAGCTGACGGCATTTTTTTTTTTTTTTTTTTTTTTTTTTTTTTTTTTCCCCCTCTCTCTTCAGGTCTGGAGTGGATGTGATAGGTGATCCGTCCACGCCTGATTTGCTTGAACGAGTTTTGACCCTGGCCCAGGAAAAGGAGGCCGCGTTTCTGGCCAGCAAAGGGGAAGCCTAGAATTCCTGGGTCAGGGCTGCCTTTTTGGATGGGGCCAAGGCTGCCCACCGTTTTACCAGGGTGCGTGGAATCCAAGAGGTGCTCACCGAGGAGCATCGGATCCAACCGTTCGAGCTTGCCGACGACACGTGCCGTGCATGGGCCCACATTTGGACCACTCACTCTTGCGAGGATTTGCTGCTGCCGAGCGATTCGAAGGATTGGGCGAGTCTGCCGCCGATCGGGGTCGACGATTTGAGGTGTGCGATTTCGAGATTTCCCCCGGAGACGGCGGTGGGCTGTTGCAAGATCCACCCTCGTTCGCTTCAGTACCTGTCGGTTGCGATGCTAGCTGTTCTAGCGTCGCTTCTGATGCAGCGCGAGAAGGCCCTTGTTTGGCCAAGCAAGCGGTTAGTTAGCAGACTTGTCAGGTTGCCAAAACCAGACGGCGGCCACCGATTAATTGCTATCCTCGACACTATCCTACGAGTGTGGGGACGCGTTAGGCGTTCCGTTTCTGATGACTGGGAGGCGGGGGGTCGTACTCGGGAGTTTTGGGGCTCGGGGAAAGGGAGGAGTTCATCGGACTCAGCGTTCGATTAAAACCTTTCTGCTAAAGTTGCCCGCGCCAGAGGATGACACTCTGTCACCCTATTGCTCGACATGGTGAAGTGCTATGATATGATTAAGCTCTCGGTCCTGTTCCAGATTTTTCGACCGGTTGGTTTCCCGCTCCGTTGCGGGTGGATGGTCATCCAGACCTACCTGGCCCCTCGGAGAATCGATGCGTTCGGCTCGCTTTCGGAGCTTTTTGTGTCGTTCCAGGGGATGTTGGCTGGATGCTCGGCAGCGACGTCGATTATGTTGGCTGTGCTTCTGCAGCCAGTTAAGTTTGTAGTTGAAAGGTTTCCTGTCCAGGCTATAACGTTAATGGATGATGTTTCGTTGCGCTGGGCTGGGCCCGACCCTGAGAAAGGTACGGTTGTCCTGGCTGCTGATCGGGATTTATGCTATCGTGTGCGTCAGATCGGCCTTCTTCTGCAACCCAACAAGTCAGGGTTTGTTGCCGCCAGCCTGGCCGCGTCCAAGCAAGTGGCGGTGTCGGCCAAGCTGATGGGCATGCGAGGATACGAGCATATGCGAAACCTTGGTCATGCTTTGTTTGGTCGGCGTGCTCTCCGAAAGGTGGAGGCCAAGAGGAGAGTTGCGCTGGTCAGGAGGAAGCACCGCATCCAGGTGCTTAAGAAATCAGCAGGGACCAAGGTTGCGGGCTTGTGGCGTGAAGGCCTCATGCCAAGTGGAGGCCATGGTGCCTCAGTTTCAGGTGTTAACAATAATACGCTCAGAACCCTCAGGGCCTTAGCTGGGAGCCTTATGGGAGCGGGTGGGGCGTCTCACGTGACGGGGTTCTTGTTCGCGCAAAAGGATCCCAGTTTTGACCCCATCGTTGATGCCACGATCCCGCTAGTGTTCAGGTATTGTCGCTGGGTCTGGGATCGTAGAGCGTCCGACTCTGATTTGAGAGTGGCTTGTTCGAATGCTCAGGCACGCTTCAGAGACCGCCCCCATTGGAATCGAGTGCAGGGACCTGTCGGGGCGGTCATTTTATCTTTGAGGAGAGTTGGCTGGGATCTGATTTCTCACCATCAGCTTCGGACTGACCAGGGTGAAATTATATCGCTTTTCGCCACTTGCCCCTGGGATGTCAAGCAGAGGTTGCGCGAGGGCATCTGCCGTGCCCAAGTGCGACAGATTTTGGAGGCCATCCCCGAGGCTGGCGGTGATGAACCTGTCTGGGGGCGCGCTCCCAGATTAGGGATTCTTGCTGTGAAGGACCCCTCTAGGCAGGCGGCCTTGAGAGGCCTTATCAGTGGTAAGCTTTGGCCGCCAGCCAAGAAGCACGAGCATGGCTACGCAGCCAGTCCTAAGTGTGAATTCGGGTGTGATGCGATTGGATCTTTCGGCCATCAGTGGTACGAATGCAAAAAAGTCTGGGGGCCTGGTCAGGACCCAGAAGAGGCAGCCATGTTCCCAGACGGTGTGCTTGAGCATGTAAAATGGCCGCGGGACAAGGCTAAAGGCCCCGCCCCCCCCCCCCCCCCCCGACTTCGACACTCTTGAGCTGGCGTGCGGTGTTCCTCTTCTTCCCTTCAGCATTGAGCCTGTCCCAGCCAGATATCCTTCCCAGTGTTGGGGTGCCACGAGCATGCCGTGGGGCTTTCACCTTTTTACGGGTGGCTCTGGCCTTTCGAACGGTCTACCCGAAACGTGTCGCTGCGGGCGGGCTGTTGTCGAGCTTAGTCCTGGGGGCTGGCCCATTCGGGCTTGTTTTGGGCCCCTCCCAGGGGCCATCCAAACTGTGCCCAGGGCCGGGAGGTACGCGATGTTGCAGGCGGTTCGCCTGGGCCCGAGAAGTGTGGAAATTGTAAGCGATCACCTTTCGGCGGTGCATGCAGCCACTGCTTGGTCAGCCGACTTAGCTGAAGGCAGCAAAAAGCATGCGTGCATCTGGCGCGAGATGTTTGAGGTGTGCCCAGCTGGAGCCCCGTTTGAGGACAGGCCACGGGCTCGCTGGACCCCCGCCCACGGAGATCTCGACTCCCTCCTCTTTGGTGAGCGTTCTCCGAACCTGGATCGATCCGTGGACACGGCGGTGTTCGATTATCTGGGCAATATGTGGGTTGACTTTTTTACTAAGTTGGGAGCGAAGCGGCACGCTGTTGCCAGCATCGCCACTGACACTCTGAAGGCTCAGCTGAAAGACGTGAAAAAGACGTGCCGTTTTCTGGGCCAGGTCGCCCAGTTCGTTGCGTCTCAGGCCGAGCCCCCTTCCTTTTCCTCGAGGCCAGGCCGGAACTTCATGGCTGTGCCTCAGCTCTCTCTGCTCGCTCACGACTTGGAGGTGGCGGAGGGGGGGGGTGCGGTGTACGTGGTGCCGTTGCTCTGGCAAGACGGCGCTCTCTCGAGCTAAGCTGGAGTTGCCTGGCAGTAAGTGCGGGCCGACGCCGATCCACTTATATCTGGCGGCGGTCAGGGCCGAGCGTCACAATGGCCTCCTTCCTAGGGCGCGCAGTGACGCGGTCCTTTCAGCGTGTCGTGAACTGGGGTTCACGTATGATGGCCTGCATGTCCAGGCTCTCGAGACTTTCGAGTATCGGGGCCACTGTGTGCAGGCCACGGACAAGTTTTTGCTGTGCCGCCGCTGCGGTGCTCGTGTTTCCATTGGGGCCCCAATTTGGAGGGGCCTCGTGGCGGACTGCCGAGGCCCAGCGGGGAGGGCTTCTGTGCAATCCTGGCGCATTGATGCTGCTCTCGCGGGTCGCGAGGTCCGCTAGGGGTGGCGGGCCATGGTGGTAGGCGGCGGCTGGTGCCTGTGTGCCGCTTGCCACCACGGTCCGTGCCCTAGTGGCCCTCGGCCTGTGCGGGCGGTTGCGGGACCGTGACGGCGGGAATCCCGCGCCCCTCCCTTTTCCTTGCCCGCCAGCCCTCATTCGAATCGGATGTTGCGCCTCGGCCTGATCCCTGATCCCTCCTCCTCCTCCTCCTCCCCCTCCTCCTCCTCCTCCTCCTCCTCCCTCCTCCCTCTCCCATCTACCCCTCCCTTCCGCATGGCTGCCCTCGCGCTTCCCCGCTTCGTTCGGCCCCTGGGCGAGCACCCTGTCTCCACGGCCTCTCGCGGCGCCCAGGGCGGGTCTGGGGGCCAAGCTTTCCTACGCCTCTCCTAGAAGAGAAAATGCATAAGCATGAATATAAGCATACACATAACCATAAACATACAAATCAGCATAAACATAAGCATACACAAAACAAACACATAAACATAAACTTTTGGCGCTCCGCGCGGGTTTCTTGGATCTGCGCCCGACCTTTTTTTCTGGCGCGCGGAACGCGCCAGTGGTGGCGCCAGAGGCGCCGCGGGGGGCCCAGCGCCGATCTAAGAAATCCGCGCGGAGCGCCAACAAAAATATGTTCATGCGCTTTTCAGTTTCTTCGATCTTCTGCTCCCTCCCCTTCTAAATCCTCCCCCTTCTGCCTCTGATGGGCCCCGTTGTCGCAACGGCCCACACCTGCTCGAAAACAGCACGTCAGGGCGGTGCCCCGAGGGCGGGGGGGGTCTTCTACTTCTAACCCTCCGTGCCCAAGACAGGCTGGGTCTCTGAAAGACGAGGTTGGTTGAGCAGGGACCGACCGTCCCAGCTTTCCTAAAGTTCTACCACGACATGTTCTTAGAACTCAAACATGTTCTGATAACAAGAACAACGTTCGCATAACATAAACCCGCCGATGCGTTGAACAAGGCAAGATCAGCCAGACGTGTTCTAATAACATTTCGTGCAGACTACACAAGATTCTTAGACCATTGTTTAGTGGGCCTCTAGGCGAGCCGAAACGATTCGCCACTGATTGAGTTTAGCGATAGACTTGCCCAGTCGAGGAGCAAGCAAGGTGCCCTCGAGGAGACGTATGCTTTGGGTCAAGTGGGCCCAAAGAACTCGGGACGAACCTGCTCCTATTCTGCTTACTGCGACCTATGCCGTGTAACTTCACGCCTCGCAGGGCGTCGTTTTCTTCGCGCTCGCAACTCTCCGGCCTAGACGGCGCGGTTATCTTCGCACCCATTCAAACGACCTGGAACGAAGCGGCGGCATCCACACGGAGCGCTGCCGAGCCAATGAGCGATGCAACGCTGAGCTCTTTGATAACCGCGCCAGCAACCCGTCCCGACGAGTGCCAGAACGACCGCTGCGGGACCCTGCAGCAGCTGTCTCACCGCGCCCGCCGCAATCCAGCGTAGAATGCGTCGCGCTCTCTCACCATCTCAGCCTCGGGTGCAGTCAGGCAAGAGCGGGGATCATGTCAGAACAGACCAAGACTGATGGACAAGAAAAATAAACACCCTGGAAAATCAATAACAACCCCTCTCGACAGATACGATCGCGAAACCATAACGCACTTCAGAAATGGCACGCGGCCGCTCCTGCCTGAGTCAAGACATGACGCGCGTTGCATCTCACGTAGCGCAATGACGTAGCAGTGTGCGGTGAAGCGAGCACGCGCAGACACACTAATCGAATTGATAATCGAATTGATAGTCAACGCGTACGTATTCAAAATCCGTCGACCCCTTGGGGTCATCGGCGTGTGAGATGCCCCCCCCTCCCCAAACCCCTCCCCCCGGGGCTCGGTCCGGTCGGTTTGGATCGGGGGGGGGGTCCGGCCGGCCCCGGCTGAACGCGCCACGGGCCTCACGACGGGCCATGAGGGCCCCAAAAGACCCACAAGATGGTCCAAGAGGGCCCCCCAGTCGCCGATGGATCGTTCCAAGACGCCCAAGATGGCCCCCAGACGGCCCAAGAGGCCCCCGAGAAGCCCCAAGAGGCCCCCAAGAGGCGTCCCAAGAGGGCCAACAGAAGCAAACATCGTCTCATTTCCTTCGGGAAACGTATGATTTTAACACATTCGCCTCTTGGGCTTTCACAACGTCCAAGACGCCCAAAAGGCCTCCAAGATCGCCCCAAGACGGCCCAGAAGCCCCCAAGAAGGTTCCAAGACGGCCCAAGAGGGCCTCAAGACGGCCCAAGAGGCCCCAAGACGGCTCCAGGAGGGGGGGCACATCTCTCACACGCTTCTTGCCCCCCCATAGGGAGCGTCGCCGAAGACGATGTTCACAACTCCGGTACTCACAACTGCATATGTTTGGGCCCTTCGCTAGGATAATCTGGGTGCTCTGAGGGTCCTATCGGAGCGACCCAAGGACGCTCTGGGAAGGCTCACAGAGGCACAGGGGTGGGAGGCGCCACTTGGCTTTCGGCTGACACTGGTTGCCTGATGTGCTGCGGCCCCGGGGCCCCTGGGGCCCAGTCTCCGGTGTATGGGACACATATGCATGCAAACACAGACGTGCGAATCATGCTCCATGCCCGTGTGTGTGTGTGTGTGTGTGTGTGTGTGTGTGTGTGTGTGTGTGTGTGGGCGCGTGGTGTGTGTGTGTGTGTGTGTGTGGTGCGTGTGCGTGTGCGTGTGCGCGTGTGTGTGTGTGTGTGTGTGTGTGTGTGTGTGCGTGTGTGTGTGTGTGTGTGTGTGTGTATTTGAGCTTGTGTGTGTGTGTGTGTACGTGTGTGTGTCTGCGTGTGGAACAACAAATCAGCGACATGCAACAATGTCGGATGGTAACCTGACCCTGCATATTGACGTGCACATGCGAGTACCATTTGGCAGCTGTAAAAGCCCCAGGTGGGGCAGAAACCCACCGCTGGTCTTGCGATGTCAAGCGTGAGTCGCCGATCCCGACTGGCTTCGCCCTCTTGGCCCTTCTTAATGACGGGGCGGGTGAGAGCCGCGAGGGGGCGCGTGCAACGGCCAGCGCAGAAACTCAGCAAGGAGGAACAAGCGCCTGTGAGGACGATGAGGAGGACAAGGAGGCGGCGGAGGAGGCGCGAAGGGCAGCAATCCCTCCCCAGAGCGACCTCGAGCTCCTCGTCGATCACCCGCTGGTGGAACTCCGCCCAGCCATGCGGCATCGTCGCAACAGCGCCGTCGGCCCGCGACAGCAGCGGCCAGTGCGCAAGCCCTCTTGACGAGGTGCTCTGGGCGTGTGGCGAGCGAGCGGAGCGGAGCGGGGTGGGCTGCTGGGGGAGGCTGGCGCTGCGGCTCCGGTGCCACGCGCAGTGTCACGCCCTGAGCATTGGCATGAAGCCGGGCGAGCTGGCATGCTACGCGCAGGTGGGGGGGGGCGCAGGGCATGCTGTCTGGCCCGCGAGTTCTCTCGGCTGCGAGAGTGCTCGCGCATGTGGGCAGCGCTTCACCGACCCCTACCAACATGAACGTGGCCAGGGCCCCAGTGGCCGACCGACGCCCTAGCTGGGGATACGGGCCGCTCCCCTCGGGCTTCGAGGTGCGTGTGTCCCCAACTGGGGTGCAAGGATGCTGGAGGTCTAGATGAGGATGGGGATGGGGATGGGGATCGGTAGCGATACCGATGCCACGACCGGGAGGAGGTACGTTGAGCAGGGACCGACCGTCCCGGCATTTCTATAGTCCTACCACGAAATTTTCCTAGAACCCCAAAATCTTCTAAGAACGAAAGCAATGTTCTGAGAACATGAACCCGATGTGATAAAACAAGACAGACTCCGCCAGAAATGTTCTAAGAACATCTCGTGGAAACCACAGAAAAGATTCTTAGAACATTGTTCGGTAGGGCCATAGGCGAGCCAGGACGCTTCGCCACTGCTTGAGTACGGTCAGCAACTTTTGCTCCGCCCTTCGCGGCGGCGGCCCCCTCGGCACGCTATACGCAGAGCGGGCCGATGGGCGTCTCGCTCCGCTGCTCGGGGCCGTGGGCCGGAGACAGCTCGGGAGGGGCCGGAGACAGCTCAAGAGGCTGACGCCTGGCGACTGGGAGGTGGTCAGCGCGTCGCGCCGCAAGGTGCTGGGCCAGAACCGGCGCAGCGACACGCTGAGCAACACGATGGGCGTGTTTTCCACCACCACCACCATAAGTAGGAGGGGGAGGGGGTCCTCCTCCTCCTCCTCCTCCTCCTCCTCCTCCTCTTCCTCCTCCTCATCCTCCACCTCCTTCCCCCCTCCAACTTATGGTGGTGGTGGTGGAGAATAGGCCCATCACAACAGTTCCCGACCGCAGACACGCCACGAAGAAGCGCGGATTGCGGCGAGGGGGTGCGACGAGCGTCGAGACGTGAGCGTTGAGACGTGCCCGGAAATCAATTCGGGCCCCTGCCGAAGATCTACTGCTCTATGGAAGAAAGCCAGGCATGTCTCTGGAATCCCTGCGGGTCAAAACACGGGTCAAGAGGACTGGATCGCATTCCGCGCCCACCGAACGTGCCACCGAATGGCCTGTCGGCGGGCTCAGAATCAATGTCGGATGCCTCGAGGGCATCCTGCCTTGTTGCAAAAGGGACCCGCGACCCCCTATACCACCACAAAACCCTTTTGCAAGCCTCGCTGTCCGCCTCAAGCCTACCATTAGCCTTGCGAAAGACCCAACCATCTGCAGCTGTGAGTGCCACAGTTGTGAGTATCGTCTTCTGTGGAGCTCACGAAACGTGTGAGAGATGTACCGACATGGGGGTGAAACCGCATGCATCCCCTGCCACTGGGGCCTTCGGTGGAGCTGCCGACGGGGCCACGAAACGTGTGAGGGGTGTGCCGATATGGGTGTGGAACTGCATGCGTACACTGCCACTGGGGCTTTCGGTGGAGCTCTATATGGGGCCACGAAACGTGTGAGGGGTGTGTCGAAATGGAAAAGGAACTGCATGGCGAACCGTGCCACTGAAGCCTTCGGTGGAACTCCCTATGTATGGGGCCACGAACCGTGTGAGGGGAGCGCCGAGATGAGGGTGGAACTGCATGCGAACCCTGCCACTGGGGCCTTCGGTGGAGCTCCCTATGGGGGCCCCGAAGCGTGTGAGGGGTATGCCAAAATGGTGGACATGCGGAGAGGAGGGAAAGGGATTGGAGGAGGGAGGAGGAGAGGAGAGGAGAGGAGACGCGGGGCGCTGTCTCTTCAAAACGAGGACCCAACACCACAAGATGGGTGGGACAACACATTTCCACCTTCTCCACCTCCTTTGCCATCCTTCTCCTTGCCCGGCCCCGACTTCCCTTCCTTTCCTTCCTGGGCGGGGTCGGTCTGAGATGTGCCATGTGCAATCCGTCGGGAGGGGGGGAAGGCGGACCCCCACCTCCGCCTTACCGTCCCTCTTCCCGATCGTCTTCGACGTCGTCGGTGTCGTAGGCGTCGTCGTCGTCGTCGTCGATCTCCTCCTGACCCACCACCTTTCTGCTCCTCTTCCCCTCCGCCTCATCCATCTGCTGGTGGCGTCTTCCTGTCGTGGCCCCGAGCAAGACACCTCTCCATCGTCCATGCTTTTTGTTGTCCGGCCGTGCATGGGCTTACTCCCCCGCCGTTAGGCTTGCGGCCACAGTGAGCGTGGGGCCTCAAGTGGGCTCCACTCATGGAGTGATGCCCCTCTGGCTCATTGTCTGATGGAACCTGCGCGTGTGTGTGTGTGTGTGTGTGTGTATATATATGTTGATTATCTGACCGTCGCCGTACTAATCCAGCGGGCCCAAGAGGCTTGCAGGGTGCATTTCGGAAGCAGTTCTGTCACCTCTTGGGGCCTTTTTTGGGAGCTGGGGCCTGTTGGGGGCCTCTCTGGGGGTCCTTCGTGCCTCTTGATGTTTCCGTTGTTGTTTGTTCGTGCTTCTCCCCCCGACATATTTTCTGAGTCCTGCTTTTTTATTCAGGGGCGTTTGAGATAGCTCGAGAGGCCCCCGCGATCGCCCCAGGACGGCCCAAAGTGCCCCCCCAAAGGGCTTCAGACTGCCCCCAGGAAGGCCAAGCCTGGCCCCAGGAGAGCCCTACGACGGCCGTGACGAGCCCCACGAGGGGCCCCAAGACGGGCCCGTAGAGGTCCACCACGATGCTCTCCGAACGTGTCGGCGACCCGCCGTAAACGACTTTGTACCGCGAGCGCAAAAGTGCGGGCTGTTAAGGCCGCTTGAGGGGGCTAGCACGCTTGACTCAGCCAGATCATGCCAACACGAAGGGGCCCTGGGACTTGCAAATAACTAGGCACAAATGACAGGATTCCCCCTATCTTTTTCCATCTTCTCTGGGTTTTTGTCTTCCCCCCCACTTCCCATATTTTCTGGGGAATGGACGATTACTTTTGTATGTTTCCCCCTCTGATAACATACGTACAGCCAAGACTATGATCAAGAAAACTACCGGTCAAGACAGCGGGGCCAGCTTCCCAGAAATCTCTTCCAACGAGCCTGGGTCGATTTCTGTTGTTCGCGCTGGAGGGTCGAACGTCCCCAAGAACCTGGGCCAGCTTCCAAGTTGGTTCAGAAACGCTTGCCCAGCGTTTCGGAAAGAGGCTTCTTGACCAAATTATCGGCTGTGATAAGACTCGAGTAAGCTGGATCAATAATGATTCACCTGAATTAAACGAGATTGGGACACATGTCGATCAAGGACATACAATAGTCGATAATGAACTCAACATCCCATGAACACGAAGCAACACAGTGCTGGACAAACTGCGGCGATTCCTCCGTTGCCAAACAGCACCCCTGCTGCTCCGCTCAAAATTGACCCTTTGACCTGTCCTACAACGCGTTCGGCCTATAGGATTTCGAGGCGACTCCAGCCGTGGCGGTGGCTGGGGGCTTTCCACACTCCAGCCGTGGCGGTGAGCATGGGTTTTCCACGAGGCACCCAAATAGGCAAGCAACGCATAAAAATCCCCCGTCCCTTCCACCTCTTCTTCGTAGAAAGACTTACGCGAAGGGGCGAAGCACCGGACTCGTTCGAGCATGGGGCGCGTGGCGGTGACGAGGGGTTTTCCACGAAGCACTCAAATGAGCAAGCAACGCATCAACATCTTCCGTCCCTTCCCTCTGCTCTTCGTAAAAAAAATCCACGAAGGGACTTCGAGGCGAGTCCAGCCGTGTCGGTGACGAGGGGCTTTCCACGGAAACGCATCCACATCTTCCGTCCCTTCCCCCTGCTCTTAGCGGAACAATTTCACACGAAGGGCCGAAGCACCGGACTCGTCCGAGCCTGGGGGGGCCTCCGACGATCCTGAAGGAGCCCGCGGGACGGGCGCCAGCTGCTCCGATTGACGATGCCTCCGGACTGCAAATCCTCGAGCTTGACGTAGACCACGTCTCGCCCGAGAACGGCAAC